CCCCCCCCGCCCCCCGTGAGGTGGGCTGGGCCAGGGATCTGCGGTTTCTGGCGTCATCCATTCATTCGCTCACTCACTCACTCATCAGGAGCCCGTCTCTCCCCGGGCAGACAGCCGAACGTCCCCATTGCACGTCCTGATGGTCCACGCTGCGCGTCTCCGGCTGGCGGAACCAACGTGTGCCGGCCGACCCGGGGTCGCGTCAGCTTGCGGGTCGGTGGCGGCGGGGCTTGGCGGGGCGCGTGACGTGGCGGTCAGTGCATTTCCTAGCTCTGCGGCTGCCTCCTTTGAGTCCCCAGCGTGTCCCTGACCCGAGGCGGTGCCGACACGTTATTGATGGCCCAGCTGTGGTCAGGGCCTCCGGACAGTCTTTTCTGGGGCCTTTGCGGCCGAGGGAGGAAGAACAGGAGGACGTCACATGGCACGTGGGCTGGAGTTGTGCCCCCCGCCCCCCCATGTGAGCGCGCGGCCCCTGGGAGCTCCTCCCTCACAACACCAAGTCTGGAGATGAGATGCGCCCAGGAGTGACGCGTGTTTCCTCCCTTACCTTCTCTTGAAGGGGATGTGGTTTTCCGCTTCCACACAGAGCGCGCTCCACACGGCTCATCAGAAGTTTTGACAGCCCGATCGTGTCTTACCAGTAGGTGGCGATAGGATTCCCATTTGCAGATGGGGAAACTGAGGCTCACGGGGCTCAGCCTGTCACGGAGGGTCAGTGGGCCAAATGGCCGAAGACGTTTTCTCGACCGCCTGCCACACACGGGGCACCGAGGGTTAGCATGCGTTTGAGACCGAGTTGGTCTCCCGGCTGCTTCGACACAGGCTGGAATGCGCCGGGCAGATTTCCTTGGGGCCCGTGGACCTGCGCGGGGCAGGGGGGCTGCTGGACTGGACGCTGGTGCCTCTGTCCCTTGGGCAGAGCCCAGGGGTGAGCCTCTCGCCCCTCCCCCCGGTCGGGGAGCACTTGTCATCTGCGTCACTGCACGTGGGGACCAAACCCTGTCACTCGGCTGAACGTAAGGTTGCCAAAGAAGGGCTTGGAGGTGGCACAGCGGGCACGGTGCCCGCCGGGGATTCCAGACGGCAGGGTGGGGCCTGCAGGAGCGCGCGAGCTGGCCACGTCCCAGGGAGGAAACCGAGGCACAGCCCAGCCTTCTGGGGAGCCAGGCCTCCTGACCTCTCGTGGGGCCTTGCCCAGAGCCCCACACGCTTCCTCCCCTCCGCGTCCTGAACCTTCCCCACGTGTCTGTACAGATCTGGTCCTGCGTCAAACGAAACGGGAACATAGGTCTGTCTGTCCTGCCGAGATCCCGGGCTTCCTCTGTCCCGGGGATTCTCATGCTGTTGTTGCAGTCCTCTGGGTGGAGGTGACCCCCACCCCCTCACGGTGTGCTGCTGGGGGACAGACGCCGGGACCTGTCTGGTCCCGCCCTGGTCTCCGGGCTTCTGGGCAGAAAGCACGCTACGATGGGGGCCTGCGGGCAGGATCGCACCTGTTGGGGAAGGGGAAGTAGAGGGTTGGGGTGGATATGAGGGGCCCGGCTGGGTGGTCAGGGGTCTCACTGAGCAGGAACCTGTTCTAGATCTTTCTTCCAGCCTTGGCAGGCCTTGGCTGTGTCTCCCGGGCCCCCTGCCCCACCTAATCCAGGGGCCTCTGCCCCCGGCTTACGTCCTAAGGTTCTCAGATCCTTCCTCTTTCTCTGAGTCAGACCCACCACACTGGACCTCGGGGATCAGCCAGTGTAGCCCCACCCCCATCGTGCAGGTGGGGCAACTGAGGTCCATCTGGGTCAAAGGGTTTGCTGGACCTGAACCAGACAGCCCCGCACACCCACCTCCTGGGTGTTCTCCGGAGATTGACTGTAACCTCCTGGCATGTGTGGGTGGTCCTGCCCTCCGTGTGGCCTCCTGCTCCTCCTTGGGGGTCTCAGCTCAGCAGCCAGGCCTTGCTGGAGCTGCAGGCGTCTTGCTGCCACCCTGAACCTTTGCTGTGTGTTCGCCGGGCCTCTGAGGACAGTCTAGAGCGAGCGCCGTCTCTGTGGCCAGGCTCGTTCTGGCCCGGCTCCCTTCACCTCGTGGCCGGATCTGGTCACGGAAGTGGAATGATCTTCTCAGGCTTGTGGAGGGAATGAAATGAGCCGTGCCCGTCAGGGGCCTAGGCCAGGGTGGCCTGTGCGCCTGGCATCCTGCTCTCTTCCCCTGCAGTCTTGGTCCCCAGATACCGGGGACCTGACTCTGTGTCCCCGGGCCCCCGTGGCCAGCTTTGAGACGCTCCAGGCCCTGGATCGTCTGCTGGGAAAAGGGAGAGGAACCCTCAGTGCCGGTCCTGAGCATGATGGCCTGAGGCCCTTCTGGCCCCAGACCTGCTGCCCCGCCCCCGCCCCCTGCAGGCTGCTCCCTAGGCCCCCCAAGGGCACACCCTCTCCACCAGGCCTTAGCCTCCGCTGTGTCCTCTCTCGTGGGCCACCTCGCTCCCCTCCTCTGGGAAGGTGCTCACTCTGCCCCCACAAACTGAGGGGGGATGGGTCTGTACCCACCGAACTGAGCCCCTGGGGGACGGGAGCGGCGTCCGATTCACCCCTGCTTGCCTGAGCCTGGAACCGAATGCAGAAGGGAGTAAGGGAGGGAGGCGGGGAGGGAGGCAGCTTCCGTGCCTCAGGAGGGCCCCGCGGGGGTCCCCGCCGTGGCGCCGCTCCGACACTGCCCTCACCGCGGTCTGTCACCGTCAGCCGGTGTGTCTGGCCCACCGAAGCCCCTTGCCTGGCACGCAGTAGGTGCGCGGGCGGTTTTCTGAACAAGGGAGGGGCTCAGAGTCGGGTTCGGTGTGAAAATGGAGCTGCACCGTGACCTTCCGCGGCCGCCGCTGGGTCGGAGGCGCGAGGCGTGCTCAGCTTGGGTGGGATCTGTGCCTTTGTCGTCTCCCCACCCCTTCTGCTGCACCTGCTTATTCTCAGCGATGGAGATGAGACCAGCTAAGGATGTGAGGTCAGGGGCCGCCTGACCCTCCCCCCCCCCCGCCCCAGGCCGATGGCACATGCCCAGCGCTGCAGGGCTCCTGGGAGTCGGGGAGGCTGGCGGTGGGGGCCTGGGAGGGGCCGGAAGCTGGGGGTGACCTTGGGCAAGTCACAGTGTCTTCTGAGCCTCCGTTTCTGCACGTGAAAGGGAACAGCGGTCGTGAGCACTCCGGGCTCCTGAAGGATTGAGTCAAGTCGGGGCTGCGTGACCCAGGGCAGGGGTCATGCCAGGAATGCCGTCATCACTCTGTGATCTCTCTCCTTGCTCCGCAAATGTTTGCGGAACGTGTTTTAAAGCTTGAAGAGGCTGGAATTTCAGAAGTTGGTCTAGCATTATAAATTAAAATTAAATTCCACGAAAATGACAGTAAGGGGGCTGCCGTCCGTGTCTGTGGGCTGGGTTGGCATGTCCCCGGACGTCTCCTACGTGTGTCCCCTTCTGCCCGCGGTGGACCTCGTGTCCACCTCGGGCCCCCAGCCCTGGAGGAGGCAGTACTGGGTAGGCCGGCCCCACCTTGGCCTGGCCGGAGCTTGCCAGCTGCAGGGGGCGGTCCCAGTGGTGGGGGAGGCCCCGGGACCCCGAGGCAAGGAAGCCCCCACGGGTCTGCCGCTGCCACTGCTGAGCCAGGTCCTCAGCGGGGAGTCCCAGGCCGCACTGTGTCCCCCTCTCCGTGAGGCCGCGTGTGGGGGTGATCTGTCCTTGCCCCGGCCTCCTGCTCCACCCTCTCCCTCCTTGAGCCCTTGACACTTCGGGGGACTCCGGGACACCCACCTTCTGCCCCAGGGACAGGCTTGGGCGCACTTGGGTCTTTGGCCAAGGGCTGGGGGTCACGGCCAAAGGCGACCTTCCTTTTCCCCCCGGGCCTGTCAGCGAGGACCCACGTGATGCGCTCCCTCTGTGCCCCCCGTCGGTCCACACGCCGTGTCCTGGCCCCCAGACGTGCGCAGGGATGGCGTGAGAGCCTTCTCTTGAGCCCGGCACGAGGCTCTGTCCTGACACAAGGCCGAGCCCCGGTCCCCCAGCCTTGTTCACGCTGTCTTCCGGCAGCCCGCCGACCGGGGGCGGCACTCGGCCCCCTCCCCGCTCCTTCTGGTGGTCCCGAAGAACCTGAGACCCCAAGACCTGAAATCAAAATAGCCCTCCGTCCCGTTGGGCCCCGCTGCTGGGTGCAGCCTCGTTATCCTGGCTCGTTAACGTGAGGACGCGACGCTCGGCCACGCGCCTCTGAAGTCGCGCAGCAGGCGGGCGGACGAGAAATGCTAATGTCCGGTGATTAGAACGTGGTCGGATGGTGCGTGCAGCCTCGCGGTGCCCGTCGGGGCTGGGTTTTGGGTTTCGGGTGTGGAAATAATTAAGCCGACGGGAGGCTTAAGAGCAGGCCTGCCCGGGTCGGACCCTCTTGCCGAGAGCAGGGGCGAATGATTTCCTGCTGATCTGAACACTCCGTGCCCGGCACGGGTTGGCGGAGTTTTAAGCACATCTGCGTTTTACCTTGACTGTTCCCTTTGACGCGTGGGGAAGCGGAGGCTCTGGGCAGGGTGGGGGGGGGGGGGGGGGGGGCCCCCCATCCCCACCCAGTAACCGCGGCTGTCATTTTCTTGAGGACGAGGGCCTGATCTTCACATCTTTGTCCCCACCACCTAAAGGTGGGCTTGCTGGGGTTTTCAGCAAGGTCAGTCTCCTGCTTAAAGCCCCCGGGGCCCCAGCAGGTCTCCGTGGCTTCTTGTTCGCATCACTTGTTCCCCTGACCCCTCCCCGCCTCTCCTCCCTCTCTTCCCTGCCTCCACTTGTACCCCTTGTGGCCCATCTCGAGCCCCTGCGCTGTTCTGTGGTAGCCTCGCGTGTCCCCAGCTCTCTGTCCACCCTGCACGGGGTGGCCTCCGGGGCCCTGGGACCCACTCCCCCCCACCCAGCCTCCCCAGCCTCGGCCCCCTCTGCATCTCTGCCCGTCCCGTGTCCCTGTCATCTTCTGGTGTCCCGGGCATCCCCACTCCGTGCCCCCCACCTGTAAGATCCTGTCCCAGCGTCTCCATCATCTTCCCCTTGGGGCCCCGACAGATTCCCTCTGACATGTTCCTGATTCCATTTGATGACACCTCGCCTTTTAGGCCGTAACTGACGTAACCACAAACACAATTCCAGTCCGAACGCAGCGAGTTAGCCATGAAGTCTCGAAATCCAGGGGCAGGGGGAGGGGTCTGCACCCCAGTTGCCCCACTTTTCCTTCTCTCTGGGGGGCTGGCATTGCAACCCTTGCATTGTGTAAATACGTATAGCTTTTTCCTTTGAAATACATTTACGGCAAAAAAGGGCGCCTGGGCGGCTCAGTCGGTTGAGCGTCTGACTTCAGCTCAGGTCGCGATCTCGCGGTCCGTGGGTTCGAGCCCCCACGTCGGGCTCTGTGCCGACAGCTCAGAACCTGGAGCCCGCGTCGGATTCTGTGTCTCCCTCTCTCTCTGCCCCTCCCCCACTCACTCTCTGTCTCTGTCTCTCTCTCAAAAATAAACAAACATTAAAAAATATATATATTTACGTACCTTGAACTTCACAGATCTTAGCCGTATCGTGTGACGAGGTTTGACACCTGTATACGCTCGAGTAACTGATCCCCCCAGAACGTTCTCACCACCTCAGAAAGCTCCCCCGTGTACCTGCCCGGTGACGCTCCCCCAGGGCAGCCCCCCCCTTCTGATTTCCCCCACCCGATGAGCCCACCAGCTCCTGGGCTTCGTGTCAGTGGAACTAAGTGCTCAGCGAGTGGCCTGTCTTGCTCTGTTCATTCGGCCCCATTTTTGAGGCTCCCCGTCCCACATTCACCAGCTGACGGACATTCGGGTGGTTCCCACGTTCCAGCGGTTATGAACAAAGCTCGGAGCATCTGTGTGCACATCGTTTTGGGGACACGTTTTCATTTCTCGTGTCAGTACCTAGGAGGGAAACTGCCAGCTCCTGGGGCACAGGTGCGTGTTCGAGTTTGCAGGAAATCGCCAAGCTCTTTCCCAGAGGGGTGGCCGCACCTCCCGGTCCCCAGCAGCGGTCTGTGACGGCCCCGTGCCTCGGTGCCTGGGTCCCCTGTGCACCTGTGCTCACACCAGGCGCCCGCCCCGGTGTGGACACTCCCCTTGCTGCTCCCCCTTACTCCCTGGAACTTGGTCTTTCTTGTGTCCATCACTTGTCTCCAGTCCTTCCATAGAGAAGTATGGTTTTTATTCTGAGTGAGTCTTCCTTCTTGTTACCATGGAGCACAGGGTCGAGGCCGTTCATCCTGCTTTCTCGTTAGAAGCGGACGTCCGCGGCTTTTGTCTTGAAATTGCAACGTCCCGTAGAAGAGCTCCATCCAACGGAAGTATAAAGGGAGCCACGGGCGTAACCTCACATCTTGGAAGCCTCGTAACCAGTATATCCAAAACCTTATCACTGCAACACGTAACTAACCTCTCCAAATATTCGCGAGCTGTTTTATTCACACCAAGTCTGTGAAGCCCCGTGTGTGCCTTACGCTGACAGCAAATCTTCGGTGGCACCAGCCACATTTCACGTGCTCACCGGCAACAAGTGCCTGGCTGCCCAGAACTCAGAGGTGGCTCTGGAGCCGTGGAGAACTGAGCTCGGATCCCAGCTCTGCCTCTGACGCGCTGTGCGATTTGAACAAGCCACTCTGCCTCTCCGAGCCTTAAGTTTCCTTCCCCGTGAAATGGGGCTTCAGCTCCAGGTTGTGGCGGACAAGCTGTGCCAGTGGAGACCGTCCGTGTCGTTGCTCGTCTCTGGGGTTTCTTGGCAGGATGTCTCAGGGGCCTGGGGTGCGACCCTGGGAGGGTTGTCGGGGGAGAAGGGAGCGCCTAAGTATTGAGAAGTGGGGGCCACGGCCTGGAGCGGCGCTTGGCACAGCAGCATCCTCTGCAAGAGAGCAGCCTCGAAGTGGGTGGGCTGCTAGCACCTTCCCTGCCCCGGAAGCCCAGCAACGCCCCTGCCCTTGGTCTGGACCCCACTGGGCGGAGCCCTCCAGGGGCGCATGGGGCGGGGGTGCATCCCAGCTGTGGAGACACAGCATCTTGCTTCCTCAGGACCCCCCTAGAGGTGTTCTCCACTATATTTCGCCTACAAGGACTTTTTTTCCCCTCCCCTAGTACACGGAACCCAAACTCTAAAACTTACTTTCAACACTTTATTCGTTTCCATGCCGAAGTGCTGTTTCTTCTAAAAATACCCTGGCAGAGAAAGCAGGATGTTGTCTCCCGGGGGCAGCGGGCTGTGGGCACACCGTCACCACGCACGGCACGGCCCGTCGCCGCGTCCAGCTCAGAGCAGGCTCTGGGTGAGGCCCGGGCGTCCCTGCGCGGGGTGGGGAGGGGGCGGGGCCACCCCTTCCAGAGCTGAAGGTCTTGCGTTCCTAATCTCGCTGATCCCTCACCCCCCTGTGAAGCCGATGTCGGCGACCCCGCGTCCCCGTCTTGTAGAGAAGCTGAGGCTCTGGTGGTGAGGTGGCCTCACCAAAGTCCCAGCTGCCTGAGACCATGTTGTCCTCAGGGAGCCACCGTTGTTTCAGGGACTCCGAGGCTCCAGGTATGTGTCCCCTGCTTCCCTTTGGACTGTCAGAGCAAACCAGTGTGGACCAGTTAATTGTCCCCGTTTTACAAAGGAGACAGCCTGAGGTCCGGCGAGTTTGCATAAAGCTGTGCAAGCAGTGACAGCCCGTCCATGGCAGGGCTGGGATTTGACTCCAGGTCTTTCGGCCGCTTCCCTGCAGCTCCCAGCGAGGCACCTCGGGCGCGTGTGGGGGCAGGAGTGACAGATGGACGGGTCACCGCGACCCCTTGGAACCGTCAGCAGCAGCCTACACATGTGGACGTGTGGTTGGCGTGGCATTTTTAGAAGCTCTGCTCTAAACGTGGCAAGAGTGGACGCTGTGTTCGAGTGTGTGTTTAACGGGGCTTCGACGCTTCCAAGGCCGGGGCAGTTTCCCCAAGTGCAGCGGGCGCTGCCCTCCCCCGCAAGGCATTAGGCTGCAGGTGCGTGGCTCCCTCCCAGCCCGAGGTCTCCCTGGGACTCTCGAGGGGAG